CCCCGAGCCTCAGAAGTAGCACCTCTCCAGAGCCCCAGGATGTAAGGCCCAGCTCAGATTCCAGACGACAGACCCCAGGATCAGTGAGTGTGACGGAGAGGGGAGAGCAGGCCTACAGGGAGGAGGTTCTGTAGGTAAATAGCCTAGAGGCTTTGGCCACCACTGGCCACCAGGTGTCACTGCCACCTTGAGAACAGTATCCCTAAGGCACTCCAGGGTAGAGGGTCCTTTGCCGTGGCCAACTCTCAGGGCAGCCCTAAAGCCGGCAGGCCAGCCAGCCAGGCTGAGGCCAAGCTGTCATCAGCCAGAGAAGGCTTTGCCACTCACCCCCTCCCTGCTCTCAGAGACTTAGCGCCTCTTACACCCTCAGAACTGGGCACAGCAGGTGGCCTGGGCCCAGCCCCATGACTTTGCTCTCTGTTTCCTATAATTAACCCACTTTGGTCTAGGCAGTTGGCTGACAACAAGATAAGGGAGGCCCTCTGCTCACCTCCCCTGTCCCTAACCTCCTTTAGGCTCTCTTTTAGAGTCAAAGAAATGAAAGCTTTAATGGGGGAGCTGTAGGCAAGGAGAGAGAGGGAGAAAGAGAGAAAGGTAGACAAATGGCTAGTCATAAGTCTGTCCTGGTCTTGACCTAGAACACTGGGCAAGAAGCAGCATCTAGGGCTTGTGACTCAGGCCAGAAGCTCTCGCAGCCTGAGCTGCCAGAGCCACAGAAGAAAGAGGCCAGCAAGAGGGGCCTGACCGTGAGGAGTGGAACGTGAGTTAGTGGCAGCACCTGAGGGCTCAGCTCACCATTCAAAGTCCTGGCGGGGACCTAGGTAACAGGCTTTGGTTTACATCTCTTCCATTTGCACTCTACTAAAATTGTTCATAGAATCCCAACACCAACTCGAATATGCTGCTAGGGCTGTTAAAGACACTTATTCCAACCGGGAACTCGTCCAACAAACACATATTGCAATGGCAGATCAAGGGAGGGGTAGGTGGGAGTGGTTTATCACTGTTGTTTATATAGAATTGCTGTCACGTGGTGATAATAAAAAGCAGACAGATTAGTTTTGTTATTGTTGTTCAACTTTTCTACCCACAATAGACTGTACCTGGGCAGACCATGCCCCCACCCCTCCTTAGTATACCCAGGGTACATCCATCCAGTGGCTGCCAGGGGCTGGCTACTCTGCCAGACCTGAGGGACACAGCAGCGAACAAGCCCTACTCTTGAGGCGCCGACATTCTAGTGGAAGAGACAAAGAAACACAGATGAGAATGATCGTAGCTGATAGCAAGTGATGTGCAGAAAATTTAAAAGGGGAGGGGTGGTAGCCAGTGACTAGGTGGCAACTTTGGATTGGAGGGTTTAGGAAATATGTTATACAATCATGAAAGAGCCAGCAATGCAAAAATACGGGACGAGCACTTCAGAAAGAAGACACAGCTAATGCAAAGGCCCTTACCAGCATGGCGAGGGCACAGCAAGCTAGGATGGTATGAGGGTCCTGCATTTATCACTGTGGCCCTAAGTCTATTAACTAATTTTAAGCACATACTTTGGGGTAGGCCTGTGCTAGTCAGTGAAAACACAGACAAATAAGGCTTGAAAGTATTTGAGAGACATTTGCTAAATTAATTAAATTATGTACGTAGTAAAGAATTTGGCCTTGCCCAAAGACAGATCTGGCCTTTACTCACACCCCCCTCCCCCACTTGGAAAGTAGCCTCTACACTCTGGGAATTTCCTGAGTGACAGGAGAGTCTCTGTTATTCAAGGTGGGGGCCCCTCAGCCCACCTGATGGTGCATGATAATGAAGTGACTGATGGTGGGCCCCTCAGGCCCCTTGGTATTAGACTGACCTCCAGGGAGGGGAAAGTTGGAGACTGAGTTCAAGGAGGTGATCAAGCAAGCAAGCAAGCCTACAAAATGAAACCCCAACAAAAACTCTGAACACTGAAATTCAGGTGAGCTTCCCTGGTTGGCAACACTCCATGTGCCTTATCACATACGGATGCCAGAGGATAATGCATCTTAAGGACAAAAGCTTTGTGTTCGGAACCCTCCCAGACTCTGCCTTATGCATCCTTCTTTCACTTATATTTGACCTGTATCCTTTCCAATAATACATCTGTGAGTATAATAGCTTTCAGGAAGTTCTGTGAGTCCTTCCAGAGAATTACTGAACCCGAGGGTGGTTTGGGGAACTATCTGAACTTCCTGCTGCTGTCAGGAGTGAGGGTAGTCTTGTGGAGGCCTTAAGGGCCTTTAGACTTTGCAGCTGGGCTGACTCCAGGTTTCATGTGACCTTAGAATTGAAAGGGATCTAAAGATCATCTAATCCAATTCCATTTTATAGGTGAGGAAACAGGTCTAGAGATGGGAAATGACTTACCCACGGTCATGTAATGTCACGGCAGAGTGAGACTAGCTCCTGAGTGTCTTGACTCCCAGCGTGGTGTGCTTTCCACAGTTTTACAGTTTCTGTTGTAACTTCAAATGTAAGGCTCAGCAGAGAAAAACCCTGAAGCCAGACTGGCTTCGCTATAAAGAAGTTTTGCAGGTGTGCCTATATTTAGGGAAGCTCATTCCCTACCAGGTTTCCTGCCTTGACTCTGACATATTTCTCTTTAAAATATTTAAGCTGAAATATGTCATGTTTACAAAGTAAGGGACTTATATGAAAGAAGAATCAATGCTTTCATTGGGTGAAAACACTTTTTTTGGTAAATTCTTTCTTTGTGATTGAACTTCTATCATTTTCATATAATCTAAATTTTATTGTTAGAAGAGATCTTAGCGATTTTTTTTTGGTTCAACCCTTCATTATACACGCAGAGATGCTGGGGCAAAGAAATAGAAAGAAATCTACCAAGCTAACCTGGTGAGTCAGTGGCAAGGACAGGCTGAACTCAGGTCTCCTGACTCTCAGCGTAGCCTTCATTCAAGTCAGGATGATTTCCCTTTAGGAGGCCAAGACAGTGTTGCACACATTTATAAAAGTACTTAAGCAACCCTCACAGAATCCCAGAGCAGCCCATTTTTGTTTATCTTGCCTGGGCAGCATCAGGCTCTCTTACTCTGTCATAAATTCTTTAAGCAGCTACCAGATATTCTCTGTACTTCTCAGTGGGTAAGGGGGGAAGGGAGCTCTTGTCACTTTTCCTCTAGAGCAGGAATGAACATCAATCTGCCAATCCCATCACTGAGACAGTGTGGACTAAAAGGCAAGACTAGGACGCAAACACCTTGATTCCATCAGATTTACAAAATCATAAAATCTACTGCGGGCCTCATATTATTTTAACCGGGAAAATCTTTTTATCACCTCTAGTTAAGTACAATATTCAAATAATGGGCTTGTATCTCTAACAAGCAACTAAAGTGTGTTCTCCTAATTACCCTACCTAATTATCTAGTGACTACATTCCTGAAGCACAGGAACAGATTCTTGCACTTGGTCAGAGGCCCCCAGAGCGTGAGCCACCTATAGAAGGTGTGAAACAAACAAGAGCTAATCTATGGTAACATCCCGCCACATGGGGCCACTCTCAACTTGGATACCCAAAGACAGCACAGATGTTTCTATGTTTCTATGCTACGATTCTGTGATGTTCAAATGATGAGAAGATAAACGTGGGCTAATTTGCTTCTATACTAAATAATCCAGACTATTTTATCTTTTTTTTTTTTTTTTTTTTTTTGCCCTCTCCCCCTCCTTTTCTTCTTTCTTACTGAAAGATTTCAAGAATCCAATTACTTGGCTCCTGATTGCAGTATAATCCCAGCACTGATCTTTAGAAAAGGGAGTGATGATCTCAAAGCCTAAGGCTGTAGGGAACCCACACCCAGAGGCTGCTTATGTAACAACACAGGTAGCCTTTACTGAGCATTTACCATGTGCTATGCCATGTGTTAGGTTCTTCACTTCATCTGATCCTTGTAACAGCCCTAGAAAATAAGGGCTGTTGTTTAGATCTCTCCTGAGCCACAGATACGGTCCTCGTTCAAGGTCACAAAGCCAGTAAATGGACGGTCCAGGATTCAAATCTGGATAGTTCCTGCTTCAAAGCCCACATTCTGAATCACTATTCTATTCCACCTCCCTAACTGAAGTAGGATCTCGAAAGCAAGATTGCTGAGAGATTTTCATTATAAGGGATAAAACCTGAGCCCTGGAAAGGGTAGTAACTTCCCCCCAGAGTCACAGAGCTGTTTAGGGGAAGAGCTAGTCTAGGACTCAGTTCTTGGATTCACTGTCCCAAGTTCTTACTACTCTATTATACGGTGGAGAGAAGAGTTTGGCGATATTTTTGAAAAATGAGCTACCTCCTAGATGACTGTCTTTAGCCCACTCTAGTGCCACAGGGCCTGAGGTTTCACAAAAACCTGAGTGTGGACTTCCCACTAGACCTGCAGCTGGAATACTGTCACTGTGAATGTGACTGCCCGGAGTCATACACCACAGTCAACTGGAGAAAGCTGCCTCGTCTCCCTCAGGAAGGAAAGCAGAACTCGAATATGAGTTTTACCTTGTCACTCTCGCTCAGAATGAGGGACCTGACTCTCCCCTCTCTCCAGACCAAGAGATTTCTCAGAATTACCCTTCTTTCTCTACAAATGCGGCAGACCTCTCAGGCAGTGAACAGCTAATGAGAGATCTGATCGAGCCCTTCCTCAAATACCTCCCAGTTTAAAAGTCCCAGGGGAAAGAGGTTCTGGTTCCCTGGAGTCTTCAAGTTCAGAGGGAAGGGAGCCAGTGCTCCATCTCTGGAAAGTCCTAAAGGTGACCCTGCAGCTCGCTAATGAGAAGGTTTCTATAAGGGCTGGTAGAAGATAAGCAGGTGTCCAAAGGGGAGGGAGGGGAAAGAGAGGGAGAAGGAAAAGGCTACACAGAGCCCATGCAGGCCTCTAGGTATCTGACCTCTGCTCCATCCTAGAGCCACCAGTCCAGAGCAGTGGGCTTGGCAATGGTTCTTGGCTCTCCTCTGTCTCTTCCCTGCTTACCTGTGGCTGCTGAGTGGTTAAGGGTCTCTGAGGAGACAGGATAGGTGTCCTGGACAGCAGCTGGTTCATCTTGCTGATGACCAGTTCGGTGATGAGCTGTCTGTCCTCCACTTGGTGTTCCCCAATCAGCGGCATACTACAGTCCATGACCTGGTGGAGGAAGTGGCCCAGATTAGGAAAGGGCCTGGAAACATCCAAGGCCTGGTACAGTCTTTCAGAGTGAGCAGGACTTAAGCCAGCAGAGAGAGGTTGGGGTGAAGTTGGTGCTTTTGTCTTCGGCTGGAAGAATGCTCCTTGGCATATACTGGCCTTTATCCCCTTCTCCTGCAAGCCTTTGCCTTGGGCCTCCCCCAGACTTCACCCATGCCAGGGCTCAGTGAGACTTCAGTCTGGTGGCTGAAGGTGGTGGGGAGAAAGAGAGAGCAAGGAGAGAGGATGCCTTCTCTTCTCACCACCAATCCAACTTTTCCTGTACCTCAAGGTCCAGATCAATACTCTCCTTGAGGGAGTGTCTGCTTGCCCAGGATCATAGACTCTGTAGTCCAACTCTCTCATTCATGGATAAGAAAACTGAGGCCCACCGAGAGGTGGAAGGTATGACCATCCAGAAGTTACATGCCAAGCAGACCATGGAGTAGATGCCGAGCCCACCTTGGGCTCCTGACGTGAATCCTCTGCAAATACCACCAATTCTTGGCAAGGGGCCTCTGCTGCTCCTGGGAAGACTGGATGGGAATGTGTGTGAAAGACTATATGGCCACTGACGCTCCCTTTAATACAGGAAAAGAGTCAGCAAAATTGTGCCAGAGGCTCAGGCTGACTCAAGTGTCTCAAGGCTCATAGAAGGGCTAAGAAGAATCTCCTGCACCCAGGAGACCTGAGTTCTAGTCCAGGCTGAGACACCAATTCACTATGTAGCCTTGGGCACATGTTCACGGCATTAGGCCTCAGTTGTCTCACTGGCAAAATGAGCAGACTGGACCAAATGATTCCCAAGACCAGCTTCCTGAGACCAAGAATGGCAAAACCACTAAAGTCTTCCCAGAGGAGTGGCAGGCTAGGACCCAGGAACCCAAGTCTGGCATCTCTTACCAATGGTGTGGGTCAGCTGAGCTAGTTAGAAATAACATCTCCCACTGGCAGGTGTGTTTTTGCTATGCATACCCCCTGGCTGTGTCATCTGGAAACCTTCCCAGGGCTCAGGAGACTCTAACATAAACGCAGTCCGTGCTGCCCATGTAGGTCTCAAGCCGAAAGCCTGGCCTCCAGCCTAGGGGGTTGTCTCTTGCTGAGATACTGTGTGGGCCAGACTCACCTCAAAAATGTAGTCTTTCCCATCTTTGCCATGTACAGCTTTGACAGCACAGATGTCCAGGCCACCAAACATCTCAGAGCAGGTGTCCACCCACAGCTTGTACCTGGAGGGGAGGGGAAGGTGTCCCGAGGCTGGGGCATTAGTCCCATGCTCTCCTTGCTGTCTCTACCTCTCCCAGCCCCCGCCCCATCCCTCCCGCCCTCCACCCCCATCAAATACACTGCCTTGTCTACAGGGCCCTCCTGCTTTGCTTTCCAGATCCTACCTGCCTTCCCAAGCGCAGGGCAGGTCTCACCTACTCCAGGCGGCCTTTCTTGGCCATGCCAGCCCACAGTAACTCCTCCTTTCCTGGACCTTCTATGGCGTGTCCGGTCTTTATCTCCACAATTCAGTACATAACCCATTCCTGCCTGATCTTGTTAACTGGGTGCTTGGGCCTTTGTGTTCCATCTGTCTGGCCTGATCAGAGGCTCCCTTTGGGCAGGGATCATTTCTTACACCTCCTCATCTACGGACGCCTCCCCTTACTTACCTGTCTGACATGGCGATCTGCTCCAGCATTGCAGAGCCAGTGTTTGTCTTCCAGTTCCCTGAGATCGACGTCCTCCTACAACAAGGTCCCGCCAGGACAGGACAGACAGTGAGCCAGGCCAGCAAGAGGAGGGCTCACCGCCACTTTCCCCACCTGCTTCTCCCGCAAATAGCCGGGGGCCTGTCTGCTGAGCCTAGAGCCTGGCTGCCTCCGCCAACCCGGCCTGCAATGCTCTCCGCCTTTCTACAAGAGTCCCACCCAGGCTGCTCTGGCTCCACGGAGCCTTCCCTGATCCTTTCAACCAGATGAGCACCTGCTCTCTTTAGAACACCGAGAGGACTTTGCCTACACCTCACTTAAAATCCTGCGCCTACTTTTTACTTTAGTTATTTGAGCTAAGTCTTCTGGCCACAAGTCTATTAATCACTTGAGGGTATACATTTTGTCTTGTATTCCCAGCAGCCTACCCACTTGGTATCTAGGCTGAGTTGGTATATACAAACTGAATTCTATTGATGCTGGAAATACCCTCAGGGTTCCTGTGAATATCTCCCCATGGCTTCCTTACTAGCTCACTTATTAATTCAGTAGTTAATCTTGAGGGCCTACAGTATCAGCAACATGACTCTGGACAAGTCAGTTAACCTCTTCAGGCTTAAGCTGCCTCATCCATCACATGCAGCTGATGGAATCAGGTCCCCAACCCCTTCTCTTCCGTGCCCTCCCCCCCCCCCCCCCTCCAAGAGCATGTGTTAGAGTCAACTAGTCTTGGGCTAAATAGGAGGCAGGTGACCTGGTTTCTGGTTCTGGATTTGCTCTTGACTGGCTGGATGACCTTGGGTGAATCACTTCACCTTTCTGTGCCTCCCTTATCCCTTTGTAAACACAGGGTTGTCATGAGGACCAACTGATACAGTTTTAAATAAACTGTAAAATACCAAAAATACGGCTTTTAGATTATTAGTCTTCACTCAGACACAGTCAAGAGGAAGGGGATGGCCTAGGGTACAGAAAAGCCCTGCTCAACTACTGACAGAGCCCTTCACCTGCTGTCCTTATCACTCACTATGACTAAAGACAGGAATGACGTGCTTCTCTGCTCAGCAGTTCTCAGGAGTATTCTCTCAGAGATCTGATTTCAGACACAGAAATCGAGACACACAGCTGGTACTTCAGAGCCCTGAGCCAGCCCAGTGAGCCAACCGATGTGGCAGTAACAGCTCCTCACATTTGTACAGTACTGACTACCTTCCAAGGTTCTTCCTTCCCAAATCCCTCGCCAGAGCCTCACTGCAACCTCCCTGTTGTGAATAGGCTGCGATTCCTGCCCCCACTTTACAGACAAGGAGATGAAGACGCAGAAAGGTTAGATGACTTGTCCAGCAGTGTATATCTACTCAGGTAGATACCAAGATAAAAACTCAGGACTCTTCGTTCCTTCATTGTGCTGCGCTT